AGAGAGAGAGAGAGAGGGACAGGCACAGAGACACAGAGTGTGTGTCCTTTAACTTTAAAGACTTAGGTTTTCACATCCTCCCTCCTACTGTGGCCTTAGGAACTACGGACACCGTTACGTCTGTCTGTCTGTCGGTCTGTCTGTCTGTCTGTCTGTCTGTCTGTCTGTCTATCTATCTGTCCTGTCAACTACCTTCTATCTACATCTCCCTACCATGGATATATAAAAAAGTATCCTACGGTAAACTGTAGGTAGGTAGAACTTGATTCCCACACTCTTCTGTAACCTTTGGGATGCCAGACACCAATGTGTCTGTCTGTCTGTCTATAAATCTGTCTTTTTGTGCGTCTGTCTGTCTGTTTGTCAGTCTGGCTCACGTCATGTACCCTCTACCTCCATCTTTCCTCCATGGATTCAAAAAGTGACCGCGGCAAACTGTACACAGAGCTGGATTACCACACTGACCTATACCACAATGACATTTGGAGAGCCAGCGGCCGTTGTATTTACTCTGTGCACGTACCATTTAGTCAGACTGTTTGTCTATCTGTCTGTCAGTTTGTCCGTCAGTCCGTCTGTCTTCCTACCCGTCTGTCTAGCCTACGTTACGCACTTTCTATCAACCTCCATCCCTCTGCCGTGGATTCAAAAGTGACCGCGGGCAAACTGTACACAGAACTGGATTACCACACTGACCTATACCACAATGACATTTGGAGAGCCAGTGGCCGTTGTAGCTGCTCTGTGCACCTATCTTTTACTCCGACTGTCTGTCTATCTATCAGTCTATCAGAGTGTCTGGCTGTTTGTCTATCTTTTTGCCAGTCTGTTTGTGTGTCTGTCTTCCTGTCTGTCGGTCGTTCAGTGTGTACCTTGTATGGACAACTTGGTGCCTACACCATCCCTATAGCCCTTGGAGCGTCTGCCTGTGTGTGTGTGTGTGTGTGTGTGTGTCTGCGTGTGTGTCTATGTGTCTATCTGTCAGTGTGTACCTTGTATAGACAACTTGGTGCCCACACCGTCCCTATAGCCCTTGGAGTGTCTGTGTGTGTGTCTGTTTGTGTGTCTGTCTGTCAGTGTGTACCTTGTATAGGCAACTTGGTGCCCACACCGTCCCTATAGCCCTTGGAGTGTCTGTGTGTGTGTCTGTCTGTGTGTCTGTCTGTGTGTCTGTCAGGGTGTCTGTGTGTCTGTCTGTCAGTGTGTATCTTGTATAGACAACTTGGTCCCCACGCCGTCCCTAGAGCCATTGGAGTGTCTGTCTGTGTGTCTGTCTGTGTGTCTATGTGTCTGTCTGTCAGTGTGTACCTTGTATAGACAACTTGGTGCCCACGCCGTCCCTATAACCCTTGGAGTGTCTGTGTGCGTGTCTGTCTGTGTGTCTGTCTGTGTGTCTGTCTGTGTGTCTATGTGTCTGTCTGTCAGTGTGTACCTTGTATAGACAACTTGGTGCCCACACCGTCCCTATAACCCTTGGAGTGTCTGTCTGTGTGTCTGTGTGTCTATGTGTGTGTCTGTCAGTGTGTACCTTGTATAGACAACTTGGTGCCCACACCGTCCCTATAACCCTTGGAGTGCCGCCGACCATTGGGCGAGAACATTCCATGACCCCGGATGACCTTGGTGGCGGTGGCTATAGGTCCGGACACCACAGAGACGGACGAGCCATGGTGCTCAGGCCTCACGTCCGGACCAGTAGCCGCCGGGGCAGATGATGACGACACCGTAGACTTGAGCGACGTGACGTCATCGCCGTTCGTGCTCACCGACACCGATCTATTCAACATGGCGGCCGGAAGGAAGGAAGACACAGCATGGAGGAATATAAGACGAAAGTCTTCGTGTTAAAAAAGAACAAGTTCCAGTGTTCTCATGAGATCAGGTGACGGCGCGAAAACTGCCGCGGGCTGTCCACCTCACACATCCTGGCTTCTCCCATCTCCACTGTCAGCAGAAGTGAACAACAAAATAATCTTGTCCCTTTGTCGGTTGTGACTGAGCGCGTGTAATCCGTCCTCAATAACGAATAGATCCGGTCCGTTTGTTTGTGTTTTTTGAGTGCGTGAAATCCACAGTGTAATCCGCAGCTTGCACTGTCTGCTTCCCGGAAAGCTGAGAATGTTACCTGAGTGTTCTACGGTCAGCTGGGTTAAAAACATAATAATAATTATAGATTTAAAATTTAAAACGCACGCAGAGCTCGCTGTTGAGCGGGTATATGCGCAGTACAAATGCTATTTATTATTATTATTATTATTATTATTATTATTATTATTATTATTATTATTCCGTAGGATTCTCACAGATACAGTGATGGTATCAGCACAAACTATATTCTTCAGGAATATTCCAGAACTCCGCGCACACACAAGCACAAACATACACACACATACAGACACACATACACACACACATAGACACAGACACACATAATCTTCACACACACACACACACACACTCACAATCTTCATACACACACTCACAATCTTCACA